TTTAAAGTATACCATATAGGTTTATATGAATATATGAGTACAAAATATTTTTATGTTTATTGTACTTTACTAAATATATAGTTATATATGTATATATTTACATTACAGATATGAAACAGGAAAATACAGACACAAAACCCAAAGATTTGGATTTATGGATGGTAATTATAAAATTCTACTATGATAATAAAGCCGATAAAAATTGTAAAAAAAAAGTACACCATTATGACGCATGGTTTGTATGTTATATTACTTATAAATATTAATTTATTAGATTCATATAAATCATTTTAGATTAATTTTAAGTATATCAAAGATATAATGGTGGTATAATTTTAAATAATAATATGCCATACCATAATATTAAACACAACCAAAGATAACATGTTATRCTATGTAACCAAACAATTTTAATAATTATTAAATATATTTTTACGATTTTTGATGTAGACAAGTATATTTTTTCTAGATACGTCCATGTGAAATGTATAATAGTGAGTATGGTGAATGTACTTCAATATCATCAAGATTGCATCAATTATTTATTCATGGAAGTACAGTAGATTGCAACCATTGGCATGAAGATTATATAAATTGTTTAAAATGGAAAAATGACAAAAATATTCAAGCAGCTGTAACTATTTTTGAGGATATATCATTCCTTTTACATGTTTATGTTAAAAATATATCACTAATGATTTGTTATTTTTAAAGGAAACCTTGGTTAATAGTGAAAAATTAAAGAGAAACAATCGATGGAAATCATTCTATGCAAATAATGTATGGGAAAATAGAACTAGTCCACCAGAAAACTGGAATGAACCATTACCAGATTATATAGAAAAACGACGACCAAATTCAACATTAAAGGATACATTAGACGAGTATAATGCAGAAATAGATAAGAAATCATTTTGTTCAATAATGTGAAATTTGTATACAAATCTTTTCTCAAGTTGGTTGAAGTTATCATGTTATTTAGTAATTATGAAGTTTTTATTTAGAAACTAATTTTTGGAAATAAAATAGTATTTTATCAGTTATATCATTTAAGATGCTTGAATAATTTACTATTCAATTATTTTATCTGTTAAATATTTTGTAGGTCATTTTAATACAGCTTACACTATTTTAATGCAAAAAATAATTGATTTCCTTATTCTATTAGTAAATTTGAGATTGATATGTTTACAGTAATTAATGGTGTTGCTGATTATACTGTAGTAGGAACAGCAAATCTATGGCACATATAAAAAATTAATAATAATAATAATAATTAGTAATGTTAGTTTTTTTTATATTAAATCTCATTAGCTCAAATA